GCGTATGCATGAGCCACCACTCCACGTGTCACGAAGTCACGCCGGCCCGTCGAGAACATAACAGGACAATAGAGCATCACATGGTAGAGCGTGACTACATGGAACATTGTGGAAGTGACAGGCGTCTTGACGTCTCGCTGGCCCGTCGAAATCACAACGTCACAGATCATTGCATCACGTACTTCATCGGGGCAGGATCAAGCCAAACACACTATAGCACAACATCGCCTATACAGTAGCCACCACTCCACGACGTCGCCCAAGCGTCACGACGTCACGCTGGCCCGTCGAGGACAGAATCAGTCAGAACAGAGCATCGCAGGATACAGGATGGGCAGTAGTGGAGAGGAGTTCCACGACAGAACAGGACATGGCAAAACATATTATAAAAGAGCAGATGCGACTATTCTATATTGAGCTGAGCCGTCAACAGCATCACGGAACAGAGGATATTGTAACATTCTTTGACAGAACATATCATGTCCTAACATGGTGCCGGTTTTTAACGTGACAGGCGTCACGACGTCACGCCGGCCCGTCGAGATCAGAACATCACAGAACACAGTATCATATATTGCATTGCGGCAGATTTCAATCAAACGCGCTATGGCACAACATCGCGTATGCAGTAGCCACCATTCCACGGCCTCGCCCAAGCGTCACGAGGTCACGCTAGCCCGTCGAGGTCAGAACATAACAGAGCACAGCGTCACATACTACATTGGAGCAGAATCCAACGAAACACACTACAGCACAACATCACGTATACAGTAGCCACCGCTGCACGGCGCCGCCCCGTCGCCAGGCTCACTTTTGGGACCAACATGCAATGACCGATTCGATGACGCGTCGAACGCGACAGGCGTCCCGAAGTCACGCCGTATCCTCTCTCTCCGCCCCGCCTCCTCATCCTTGTCCTTGCCTCCTCCTTCCCCTCCTTATGTCCCACCCGACAGGTTGGGGTTGCTAGATTTCAAGAACAGGCTCCCCGGCGCCAACCCTACCCTGATTACCGCGACTGTCAAACCCCAAGTTGTCCCGATGGTCCCGAGTATCCCGCCTCGCGCCCAGCCAACCGCACCCTGCATGCCGCGACCGCCAGACCCCAAGTTACCCCGATGATCCCCGAGAATCCCGGGTGTCCCGCCTCTCGCCAGGCCAACTCGCCCGTCATACCGCGGCCGCCAGACCCCGAGTGGCCACGATGATCCTCAAGAGTCTCGGGTGTCCCGTCTCGCGACCTCGACCAACACGACAGAGCACAACAGGTCAGATCATAACATGGCAGAACGGAACATATCATGACAGAACATGACAGAGCATAGCATACAATCATCATGACCAAGTAGAGTCGAGTATGACAAAAATATCAAATCACATACCAGAGCAGACATTGACATAACAGAAGGCGGCATATTACGACATAATATAATAGAGCCGACCATAACATAACACACCTTGACACAACATTTCAGAACATGACACAGTTTCACAGAAAATACAATTTTTCGAAAGCAGAGCATAGCGACGACGAAAATGACAGAACACAACATGGCACCCTAGAACATGACAGAACAGAACACTGGTATGACAGACCATGGCAGAACAGAACATATCAATGCCATGACGAAACAAGGCATAACATAACATCATATACTATACCTGGGCAGAGCATGACACAACATGAGACGACATAAGACAACACACCAGAACATAACCGACTATAGTTGAACACACCTTGACATAACATGCCGTATCATGACACAGCCTCACAGACCATATCATAACACGATCGCAGATCATGGCGACGACGAACACTACAGAACACAGCATGCCACAACATATTATTCCAGAGCAGAACACGGGCGTGACAGAACATGACAGAAGAGAGCATAGCAACGTCATGACAAAATAGGGCATGACAGAACATCAAATAAAACACCCGAGCAGAACATGACAGATCAGAAGACGACATAACACAACAAACCATAACATAGCCGAGCATCTTATAGCACACCTTGACAGCACAGATCATACCGTGGCACAGCAGCACATAATAAACCATAACACGACAGCAGAGCACCCGGCACATACTAGTAAAGTATATGCAGAGCTGGGCCGTCAACAAACATAACATGAGAGAACCTACCATAACAAAACATAGCATAGTATATTATTACAAAACACAGCATATAATAACAGAGCCGAGCATAGCATACCACACTTTGACATAACATATCGTACCATGACACAGCATCACATAACATACCATAACACTGCAGCAGAGCATAGCGACGTCGAAGATGACATAACACAACATGATACACTAGAACATGGCATAACAGAACACGAGTATGACAGAGCATGGCATAACATAACATAGCAATGCCATGCCACACAATTGCATAACATAGCAGTACAGAACACGTCAGAGCAGACGCTGACAGAACAGAAATGCCAGACCACAGCATACCATAGTATAGCCGAGCATAACAGAACACACCTTGACACCACATATCATATAATGGCACATCATCCTTTGACATGCCATAACACGACATCAGAGCATAGCTACACATATTAGCAGATCATATATCAATCTATTGAGCTGGGCCGTCAACAAACATAACCTCACATAACCAGAGCCGAACATGACATAACAGAAGACGACATAACACAGCACGACAAAACATAGCCAATCATAATATAACACACCATGGCATGCGAGAACCCACCAGATCATGGCAGCATCACATAACACATCATATAACGACAGCTAACTACAGCGAAATAGATTAGTAGCGCAGATCATGATACACTATACTGAGCCGAGCTGTCAACAGTACCACCGAGCAAATCATACTATAACATACCGTTTCATACTGCACCATGTCCTAACATAGTGTCACAGAGCAGATCACACCATAACATGCCAAATTATATGGTGACAGGGCTGAACATAACATAACGTAAGCAATCAGACGAGAAACATAAGTGATGCGGGACGGCGGCGAGCTTCTTTTGCATTCGTTCCAGGTGGAGAACCTGCGACCCACCCGCGACCCTAGCCGCGCCCGCGACCCACCCGTGACCCACCGCGACCCACCCGCGACCCACCCACGACCCACCGCGACCCACCCGCGGCCCACCCGCGACCCACCCCGCGACCCACCCAAAATGTTCGGCGCTTGCGGCGGGCTCCTTTTGCATTCGTTCCAGGGGGAGAACTTGCGACTCACCCGCGACCCACCCGCGACCCGCCCCGTGACCCACCCACAATTTTCGGCGCCTGCGGCGGGCTTCTTTTGCATTCGTTCCAGGTGGAGAATCTGCGACCCACCCGCGACCCAAACCGCGTTCAGTGTACAAATCCAAATTTTCGGCGCCTGCGGCGGCCTGTTTTTCAATTCCTTCCAGGTGGAGGTGGAGAGCCCGCGACCCACCCGCGACCCAAACTACGTTCACTGAACAAGTCAAAATTTCGGCGCCTGCGGCGGATTTTTTTTGCATTCGTTCCAGGTGGAGAATCTGCGACCCAAACCGCGATTAGTGTACAAATCCAAATTTTCGGCGCCTGCGGCGGGCTGTTTTCCAATTCCTTCCAGGTGGAGGTGGAGAGCCCGCGACCCACCCGCGACCTAAACTACGTTCACTGAACAAGCCAAAGAATTCGGCGCCTGCGGCGGGCTGTTTTTGCATTCGTTCCGGGTGGCCCACCAGCGATTTCCCCCGCGTTGAACTTGTCAGAGCACGACGACGACGACGATGAGGACGAGGACGCGGACGAGGAAGAGGAGGAGGAGGAGAGGGAGGAGGGCGCCATCGACAAGGAAGGTGAGGGCCACGAGGTCCGCCGGCTCGACGCCCGCGTCGCCCGCGCCCGCCCCCTCACTCTTATCCGCAATTGCGGGGTGCTACGGAACCAGCAGAGCGAGGGGGACGATGATTCGGAGGAGCGGGCGGGAGAGCCACGCCAGAACGAAAGCCGCGCGGTAACCATTCGCTTATTGGGGTCTCCGGCAGCCATGTGAGGGACAACTTTGTCAGTCTTGAGAGGCTCTTGGGAGCTTCTGCAGGGGCGTCGCCGTCTTTGGGTGGTTTCTCTGATGTTTTCCGACGTGTAAGAGGCCTCTACGGCGGTCTGCGCAGGCTCGTGGGGCTCCTTCGGGCTGTCGTGGAGGCTTCTCGGTGGCTCACTGGGCCGTCCAGTGGATTTTCATACCAGCTTGGACGCCTCTTGGACGCCTCTTGAGGTGTTTTGGGTATTCATTGGAGCTTATTACAGGGCCTCTTGGGCCTTCTTGGGCTTCTTGGATTATTGGGGGCCCTTCGAGTTGTCTTTGGAGCTTCTGGTGCCCGTCCCAGTGGCACCGTCAGCCGTTTTGCGGGCCTCTGCCTGCATTCAGGGTATCTTGGAAAGCGTCTTGGGGGGCTCTTGGGCTGTTTCGGGGGCTTCTAGGGAAGAAGAGGCGGGTGGTGTCAGAAACAATTGGTTTTGTGGAAAAAGGCCCTCTTGGAGACCAAGGGGGCCAGGCTCGTTGTGCTGGTTTTTGTGTTTTTGCACACCGACGTATTCGGTCCAACGACGAAGGTTGTGCCCTTGCACCCAGATGCCTGCCGAAGCTAGGATCATGGAAAGGGGTTACAGTGGGCACACTAAATAAGAAATTGGCTTGCACCGGGTGCCCCACGAGAATTCGTTGTCTCTCGACGGTCCCGCAGAGCCCTTGGGTACCTTACGCAGTCCAGAGCCGACGAAAGATGTGTGCCTTCTGTTCTATAGCAATTGATCTGATCGCGCTAGCCAGCTGAATGGGGAGAGGTAGACTTCTCATTTTGAAGATCAAGGATTACAGGGTGGAGCTTTGGGCACGACTCGAGGCCACCCGCAGCAGAAAATGGCTGCGTGAGCTTCATTTGTGCTTTTCACACCCGTGCATTCCTGGCACTTTCTCAGATTCCCGTTTCGCCTGCCGCGGTGGCACTGGAGAGGGGTGGAGGACGCAGGCTGGGCCTACGGCATGCGAAGCCACGACGGTGTGTGCGGCTGGTTTCCGCCCTCGTTCTGGAGCCCCGCCGCGGAGCTCGGCAGCGCGCCGGCGGAGCAGGGCGGTGAGCAGCGGCACGCGGACCATGCACAGGCAGCGCAAGCAGCCGACGGATGGGAGGGGCAGCGCGGGCAGACGCCACGAGCAAGATTATGTATGTCGGCGGCGAGCCCAGGGAGGAAGTGAGAAGGGGCGGGCCTTCTCAGGAGGCTGGGAAGTCCCCCGACCTTCTGAGAAGTTTTCAGAGCCTTCCCCGAAGACACAGAAAACCTGTCTCAGAAGGCCGGAGGCCTTCTGAGAAGCCCCGTCGCCTTCTGAGAAGGCCTTTTCTTTCCAATGATCCTCCCTCGTTCGCCGCCGAGTGTTGCATGGCGTTCTGATGCGAGGTAGCATCAGAACGCGACACACATCAGAACGCGACACAACATGTCGGAGGAGCAGCAGTAGCAGCAGTCAGTAGGAGGGACACGGTGCACAGCGATGCTTAGGATCATAGTCATAGGCCACGAGTGAGTCACGCAGTTCACGGCCGTGAGCGCGCCAGCGTGGCGTGCCAGCACCAGCGCAGTCACGTTCAGAGGGCGGGTGCTCGGCTGAATGGGTGGACGCATGGGATGTTCGAAACCTCGAACGCCAGACGACATCATTAGTTCCATGCGCCCGTGTGTTTGTCACAATTTGGCACTTGCCGTCGGAGGGCAACCTGCAGATCGAGATGTGGCAAGCGGGTGCTGTGTACAGTGTGGTTTGGGGAGGGGACGACTGGGACGTGTCTTTCTCCTACGAGCGAGATGCTCTTCTGCAGGTGTGGTTCTTTCGCGGTTCATGTTTACTGTGAAATCACGGATCGCGTCAACGTTGTTGGCGATTGCAATGACGATATTGAGGTCAGTGTCATAGCTGCTTTTTCCTGCTGCCACTGATGCTGCTGCCGCTGAAGCTGCCACCGTGCTGCCAAGCGACAGAATGAAGCTACACTTCGACGCCGCCCACAGTCAAGATTAATGCGTGCCGCAGTGGTGAGCCAGACGGCTGCTGCATCTGATTGTCGGGAATGCAGATTGTTGCGCAGATGCTGCCGGGTGTCGGAGGATAGTGCAGGTGTTCAACGCCACGTAGCATGCTGCAGTGCGGAATGTAGATTAAAACGCTCGGCATTCAGAGTGCGTGATGCGTAGTGCACGCGCGCTCATATTGAAGCTTGCGTGGATAAAGAACCGCAGTGGGGCGTTTCACTCTTGGGGCCATTTATGGTTCAGGTGTCGTACGAGGTGGAGGCGAGACAGCAATTTTTGACCATACCAAGCACGGGTCCGCGGGCCTTGGGACCGGTTCCTCCACGGGTGCACTTGGCACCTATTCTTCTTCGCAAAGTCAACATGTTTCGGTGACAAGGCGCTCCAGGACAGTCGACGGAGAGCGTCAAGATGGCTCGGGCCCCAGGAAGGTTCACAACTATCCAGAAGGCACCCACTGAGACCACCAAGCAGTTCAGAATGATTTCCCAGAAGGCCCCCAGACGGCCCGACACATTCAACAATACACTTGGATTATGTTTAACACACACGTATCACAGTGACCGAGCCGCACTGTCTTACACCGTCTCTGCGTGCGTTGCTGAAGTGGGGTTCCCTGGCGGGGATGTTTGGTGTTGCCTTGTCGCCTTGGTGTCGTCGTCCTGCCCGCGACCCACTCCGCGACCCACCTGTGACGCACTCGCGACCCAACGGCGACCAACCCTGCGACCCACTTGCGACCCACCCACGTCGATTTACAAAAGGAAATCGGCGCCCGCGGCGGGCTCTCTGTGCAATGTGGAAGCATCGGCGCCCGCGGCAGACTTCTTTGAATTCTTCGTCCAGCCTCGCAGACTGCCGACGACCGCCCCGCCCCCTCATTGGCATCCGTGTCTGCGCGACGGCATGTTTAAATAAACATATGACACACAAGCGTAGAAATATTGCATTCCATTTTGCGGGTCTGAAATGTATTCGAAGAGGGTCACAGAGCAGCCGAACACACGCCCCATGAGGGCTTCAAGAGAGCCCAACGATAGAACAGGATGCCCCGAGAGGGCCCCAAGAGTGAAGACCGACGAGGGCACCCATAGGAGCCCACGACGGCCCGCAAAGGCCCCAAGACGGCTCCAGACGGTCCCAAGATGGCCCAAGACCCCTTCCGAGATGCGCCAAGAGGCCCCAAGATGGCCCCAAGGAGGCCCCAGCGGACGCCAAGAGGGCCTAAGATGATTCCATGCTGGCCCCAAGAGGCCACAACAGGGCCCTCAGATGACCCCAAGACGCTTTTAAACGAACGCGTTTTAAACGTACGCCAACTAGGATTTGTTGAAGGTGTTTGTATTCTGCGATGGGAATACGGTGCGGTCTACCTCGCCCCCTGAGCTCCTAGACCCCAGGGTCCCCGTGCTCGTTCTTGGGCCATGCAGCACCGTACTGCAAGAAGCAATGCTACCGCAACGCCATACATGGCCATGTTATGCAATACCATCATGTGCAATGCTATGCCATGCTGTGCTGCGCTATGCCATGCTCAGGGGTACGAACCACGCAGCGCCATTCCATAACATGCCATGCCAGGTAACGCAGTGATACGCCATGCTCTGACATGCATTGTTATACCATTCGGTCCAACGCAACGCAAAACCATGCAACGTAACGGCGCCATGTCACGCGACACAATGCTACGCAATCCGGCGCTATGATGGTGCTACGCTGTCATACCCAGTTCTGCGACGCATGTTTCCCAAACCCTGCTGTGAGAGCTCTGTCCTCGCCTTGAATCCACAGCGAGCGCGTCTCCGCCTCCTCGTCCTCGGACAGGACTCCAGATGTTACCTGGTCAGTGTCGCTTGCTGGTGCAGACTGTAAGATTCCTCTCGCTTCGCGGGGTGCACGTCCAGAGCACGTAAAGACTGGGCGTCTGGTGGTTTTCCCTGCACGTCGGTCGCGCCGGTCTGCCGTGTCGTTGTGCCCGAACTGGGGCGCTGCCAACGCCATTGGGGCCTCTGGAGGGCCTCCGTGAGCTGCTCGGAGTATGTCCAGGCCAGTTCTTTGGAGACCTCTGGAGCCACTCTTGGGAACTCCTGGGGGCTCCGAGTCCTTGGGGACCTTTGCGGTATTCCTAGAAGTCTCTTGGGGGTGTGTTGAACCGTCTTGGGTGGTTTCTTGGGGCCTCTTGGAGGTTTCTTTGGGGGGCATCTTGGGAGCCTCTTGGGGGCCTCTTGGGGCTTCTGGGGGGCGTCTTGGGCCGTCTTGGGGCGCTCTTGCGCCGTTCGGCCCCTTCGGAGGCTGTCTTGGGGGTCTCTCGGGGCCGCCTTGGAGCGATCTTGGGGTCCTCTTGGGCCGTCTTGGGGGCCTCTGGGACCGTCTTGGGGGGCCATATTGGGCCCTCTTGGGCTGTCTTTGGGTCCTCTGCTGGGCTTCTTGGGCCGTCTTGGGTCAATTTCGGAGGCTGATTGGACCGCCATGTGCCTCTGAGAGTCGAGGAGGGCGAGAACGTCAAAATCCTTCAAAACCATATGAAATCAAGGCGTCTTGGGGGCTTGTTCGGCCCTCTTGGGGCCATCCTGGGCCGTCTTGAGGGCGTCTTCGCCCGTCTTGAGGCCAGCTAGAGCCGTCATGAGGCCAGCTAGAGCCGTCATGAGGCGAAGAGGCCGAAACCATAGATTTTCTGTAGGTTTTGGTAGGTTTTCGGGCCCCGGGAGGGGGGGTCAGGTTGGGTTGACGGATCTGGCGTAGCGTTGAGAGGTGGTTTGGGGGGGAGACATAATTACTTAACACAATAGCAGATGCACAAATTATGCAAGAACGGGATACACGACGCAGCACCCCGCAATTGCGGATAAGAGTAAGGGGGCGGGCGCGGGCGACGCGGGCGTCGAGCCGGCGGACCTCGTGGCCCTCACCTTCCCTGTCGATGGCGCCCTCCTCCTCCTCCTCCTCCTCCTGCTCCTCCTCCTCCTCCTCAAGTGGACGTTCGCTCCTCCTCCACCTCCTCCTCCTCCTCTTCCTCGTCCGCGTCCTCGTCCTCATCGTCGTCGTTGTCGTCCGCCTCCTCCTCCACCTCCTCCTCTTCCTCCTTTTCCTCCTCCTCCTCCTCCTCCTCCTCCTCCTCCTCCTCCTCCTCCTCCAGCTCTCTGGTCGCCGATGCAAAAGAAACCCGCCGCAGGCGCCGAAGTTTTGGCTTGTTCAGTGAACGCAGTTTGGGTCGCGGGCGGGTCGCGGACTCTCTCCGCCTCCACCTGGAGGGGATTCAAAAACAGCCCGCCGCAGGCGCCGAAAGTTTTGATTTGTACACTGAACGCGGTTTGGGTCGCGGGTGGGTCGCAGGCTCTCCACCTGGAACGAATGCAAAAGAAAGCCGCCGCAAGCGACGAAAATGTTGGGTGGGTCGCGGGGTGGGTCGAAGGTGGGTCGCGGGTGGGTCGCAGAGGGTCGCGGGTGGGTCGCGGGGGGGTCGCGGGTGGGTCGCGGGGTGGGTCGCGGGTGTTCGCGGGTGGGTCGCGGGGTGGGTCGCGGGTGGGTTGCCGGGGGGGTCGCGGGGTGGGTCGCGGGCGGGTCGCGGGGTGGGTCGCGGGCGGGTGGGTCGCGGGTGGGTCGCGGGTTGGGTCGCGGGGTGGGTCGCGGGTGGGTCGCGGGGTGGGTCGCGGGGTGGGTCGCGGGTGGGTCGCGGGGTGGGTCGCGGGTGGGTCGCGGGGCGGGTCGCGGGGTGGGACGACAACAACAACAAATAACAAACAACAAACAACACACAACAAACAACAAACAACAAGCAACAAACAACAAACAGCAAACAGCAAACAACAAACAACAAACACCAAACAACAAAGCACAACAACAACAACAACAACAACAACAACAATTACTAGCACGTGGGGACACTCCGTTCTCACCAGTGCCAGGGTTTTTCATAGGAGGCGGGCAATACCCCCACTTTGTGGGGGGGCCGGTTCAAGCTCTACCAAATTTCCAAACGACTCTTCGCCACCACCCACACCCAGCTTCCCGCCCTATGACGTTCGGACACTTCACTTCGTGGCATGCGGACGACCGTGGCTACTATTCAGGGCCCCGCGGCCGACGACGACGGCGTGCGCGCGCGAAGAAAAAACGAATGTGTCCCGCATGGTATTATTTGACAGGGATGATGGCCCTGGCAGGTGCGCAACCGTTGTTGCAGAAGTTCGAAAAAGTTGCTCGCAAAAGCCCGTTTGACAGAAATGTTTAAAAAGTGTTGGGTTTCCTACGAATCCGCAAGAGCGCGCGGGATGAAATTTCGACATTTTTTTTTGAAAACCATGTTTTTATGTTGAAATCGCTACGAACACTAAGGTTTTGGAAGGATTTCGTCTTGCGCGCGCGAATGTCCACTTTACCTTATTTTTGCAAGGGATTCTTGAAGTTTGGGTATGTTAGAACGAGAAATTTCGTTTTGTAGTGTTTTTTGCAAGGGAAAACGGGGGACAACAAAACAACCGGATCCGGACACCCACGTTTTGCCTGAGACTTCCTCACGAAAATTATGAAAATGTGGCTGCGGCCTAGGCGCGGCGAGGGGGCCGCGCACCAGGGGCCCCAACAATAATTATTCTTTAGAAAAAATAATGTTTAACAACAACACCACCACCACCACCAACAACAACAACAATCATTTTAAGACTGTTCGCCCTTATATGCTCGAGTGTCCAATTACGCGTATTTCCCAAACCCTCGATACCCGCCCTCTTCGTCGTCGATCGAACCCCTTTTGGGGGGTATACCTTTCTTCCCTGCAGGCTGGGCCCCG